CGGCGGCACCACCACCCCTCCACGCACACCCACTTCCGACCCACCCGCACCACCACCCCTCCCCAGCAGGAGGAGCGGCGCGAGACTAGCCAACTCCGTAACCACAGACCCAACTCCACCGAAGCTCCAGTTAGGTCAGGAGTCGGGCTTTGCTCCCAAGCACAACCTCAAACGATCAGCACGAAGAAGCTGGGTCACCACCTACTCAAACTCGGGCCACCCCAAACCCGTGCAGGGCAGAGTGGGGCGCACCGCCAGGGTGAGCCACTCGGTGCACACCCACTCCGGGGCGGGGGAGGGGACGGACCTCCCAAGTCTGCACCACCCTCTACCCCTGGCCGGAGCTCTGGGGAGCCGAGGGTCCCTGGCCGAGCCGAAAAGAATGCCCCTCCCTGGGTTCGCTGTCGGGTACAGGGGGCAGAGCCCCTACAGGGGGCGGCGGCGGTCCGGCCCCTCTCTCCCCGAGCTCTCCCACCCCCGCGCGGACCCGGCACGCACCCGTCCGGGGACGCGGGCAGGGCAAGGGCGATAGAACCCCCAGCGCCAGGCTAGTCGCCCGCGGCGGCTCCCACTCCGCCCGGCGCCAGAGTTCGGCTCAGCGGGGTCCGGGCCAAGGCCTCCAGCCCCTCGCGAGCGATCTGGACACAGACAAAGCCAGCGCCGCCCGCGGGGCCGCCTCCGGGGCAAAGGCGAGGAAGCCGGAGGGGCCGAGCCCGAACCTGGGGAGCAGTCCTAGTCCCAAGAGGATGTTCGGAGGGGGGGTCGGCCTCAGACAATGAGGGGGGCAAGGCCCGACGTTCCAGCGGGGGCTCCGCGCTCCACTCACCCGGGCGCGGCGGCGGCAGCGGCGGCGGCGGCGGCGGCGGCGATCGCGGCGGCGGCAGCGGCTCGGCCCAGCTTGGCCGAGGAAGTTAGAGCAAGTTCGGAGGCGCGGGGTGGGAGGGCGCGACTCGGGCCGTCCGAGCGGTGGGGGCGGGGCGCGGAGGGGCGGGGCCGGGGGCGCGGCGCCGGGGGCAGCCGAGAAAAAAGCGCCGCTTCTCCGCACCGTGCAGTGCCGCCTCGCGCGCCTTGGGCCCGCCTCCGGACCCGACCCGCCCCCCCGGAAGGCCACGCCCTGGGCCCGCCCCTCCCGCCCCCGGCTCGCCCCTCCCCCAGCCCGCCCGGCCTTTCCGCCGGCGCTGCTGGCGCGGCGGCGGCGGGGCCTGTTCGCCGGCCCGCCCCTTTGTCTCGCTTTGAGGCCGCTGCGAGTGCTAGACGAAGTGCGCCGCCCGGGCGCCGACGGCCTTAACGAGGACTCGGCGGGGCCCCCGAGCCAGCGAGAAATCCGAGTTGTGGGGGCCGAGGGGAGGCCACATCTCAAGGGGTACGGGGGTGACCGGTAGGGGTGAGCGCAGGATTAGAAAAATGGCCGTTTTGAAAATAGGAGGCGGGGCGCCTGACTGGCTCAGCCGGTAGAGCAAGCGACTCTTGATCTTGGGGGTCTTCAGTTCAATCCCGCCTTGTGCATAGAGCTTACTTAAAAAAAAGAGAGAGAGAAAAGACGCGCTCCTCCGGGGCGGCGGGGGGGGGGGGCTGCTTCAAGAGAAAGGTAGTAAGTTAACATTTTGCATTTCTTTGCACACTGGGCAGCAAAGACCTGCTCCTTCTTGTCTTGGTGCTAAAAATACCAACCTTTCTTTGGACCGCCTGCTGAAATTTGTTCCTAAGATCTGCCCTGGGGAGATGGCTGAGAGCACTCTCGGGGAAGGAGGGAGACTCGAGGTATAGCTAGCTTGCAGAGGGGTGGTCACGCTGCTGGCCGGGTACTGGTATTAGAAAGGCTAACCTCAGTGGTCGCCTCCTGCCTCTCTGAAATGAGGCACAGGCACACTTCTGACTCTTAAACTCATCCAAGTGGAAGAGGGCTAGGTGGGCAATAGGTAAGTGGCATCTATCAAAACTGGGCCACGTTCTAGTACGAGCAACCAACAGGTTCAGTCGTCAGGAGATCTTGCAATGCAGACTGTCCATTCTCAGTTGCTTTTATTAAAGGGGAGGCAGTCTGCTTGTGACAGGCTGCTCAGGGATGTCCGTGGGGAACCTGTCCATTCAGTCACCCTTAAGCAGATACTGAGGGCTTGGTTGAGTGCCTCATCTGTGCTAGGCTCTATTTTGATGCTGAGGATACAACAGTAAACGACTGCTGAAGCCTCTTGCTCCATAAAGCTTACTTTTAGTGGGGAAGACAATTACAAGTTGAGATAAATGCTGGAACAAAAACAAGGGGCTGGGATAGAGAATAGGAGCCACTTTTGATGGAGCTGGCAGGGAGAGTGTCTTTGAGAAGGAGATGTCGAAGTCAAATGGATGAGGAGACAGCCTGAAGAAAAGCCAGGCAGACACCTTCCAGGTTGAGAGCAGCATGTGCCGAGGTCCTGGAAAAAGGTAAGCTCTGGACGTGTGAAGGAGCTGGAAGAAATCAGTGTGGCTTGAATAGCAAGCCTGTGAAGGAGGATCAAGAGATGAAATGGGGAGGTGGTCAGGGCATGCGAGACTGTCTAGGGATGGAGGCTTTTTAATTAAACCATTGAAGGATGTTATGCAGAAGACTAACGTTCTGATTTACTGCTGCGTGAAGAATGCAGTGGGTGGGTGGCAGGCAGAAATAAAAGCAAGAAGACAATTAGACTATTGTGGCAGTCCAGGCCACAGATAATGGTGGTTTGGACCAAACTGTGGCCACACCAAGATGAGTGGTTGAGAGAAGCTATTTTGGACATGAACTCAACAGGACATATTGGTAGGATGGATGTCAGGGGAGGAAAGGGAGAAACCAAAGATAACTTTCAAATTTCTGGCTGGAGTAAGCTGGTGGACAGGGCCTCATTGATTGAATGAGGTAGCCTAGAGGAAAGAGACTATAGCTCAGGGAGAAGCATCAAGAATTCTGTTTTAGCCATGTTGACTTTGAGATGTCCATCAAAGACCCAATTCAACTATCGAGACTAGGAGCTCAGAAAGGAGGCCTGGGCTGTGGGGGGGAGGGGGCACTTTGGGAGGTATTATCTTAGAGATGGTAAAGGCTGTGGTATCTGAGGAAGTCACCTAGGATGAGCCGGTAGTTACAGAAGAGAGGGTTGAAAAGGAACCCAGAGGAGCCAAAGGAGCCAGAGCAGGAAAAAAGACTGAGCAAGAGAGGCTGAGGAGGCGAGAGGAGAACCAGGAGGCTGCTATATCCCAGAGACGGAGAAAGGAAAGAGTTTCTAGAACAGAGTGGGCGGCTGTGTTAGATGCTACTTAAAGCTCAGATAAGATGAAGACAGGGAGGGATCCACTGACTGGCAACATGAAAGACATTGGTGACTGTGATAAGGACAGTGTTCCTGGAGTAGTGGGACGGGAGCCAGACCATGGTGGAGCTATCCTGTTTGGACAGCTTGTCTAACATGGAATGAGAACTGGGAGGGGTCTCGAAACGGATGTGGAATCACAGGAGACTTTGGCAGAGATTGCTAGAGGACCCTAATAGCCATTCTCCCCCTGGCTACATGGCTCCCCAGAATAAAAGCAAGTTGTCAGACTCCCTTGCAGGTAGGTGTGGTCACATGACTGAGTTCCAGCCAACCAGCAGCAATGGGAGGCGTCCACGTACAACTGAGAACCAGCTTTCAAGGGCCATGGTGTTCTCTCCTCAGCTGTTGCTCTTTCCGCTCACTGGAATACGTGAAGGTGTAGCCTGAGCTCAAGGAACCATGTTAGACTTTGAAGTGGAAGGCGTGTGTTGAGAATGTTAGTGCCACAGGTTAGAATACATCTGGGTTCCTAATGTTTAGGGAGCCACCATACCTGCTCTGGAATACATACCTCTTGACTTTGTCTGTGGAAGAAAGAAAATTTCTGTCTGGTTTAATCCTCTGTTTTCTGATGCTGGTAACCATATCTAGCTTTAACTTTTGTTAGAATACAGAGGGGTTTGTTGAAATATGGAAGTTGCTAGAGCAAGTTTATGGAGTGATAGGAATGATCCAGAATGGAAGGCAGGAGTGAGGATTCTGAAGAAAGAGAGATGGGACCTGGGCCCTAAGGGAGAGGACACCTCTGATGGAGGGACACCTCCACCATTATTGAGGGGAGTATGGAGGCAGAGATGTTTCCAGTGAAGTTGGCCTTGGAAAGGCAGTCATTCACACTTGATGGTATTTGCTGAATTCTGGATGTGAAGGAGGTCAAGAGCTTAGAGCAAGGAGGAAGGAGAGGGTTAACCCACCATTAAGCACCATGACCTAGGTGGCAGAGGTCCTGCCAGCCAAAGCGCCCCTCAGACTAGTCCACTCCCTTGTGGACTAGTCGGCCACACTGCAGCAGGGTATGAAGAGGGTGAAGGAGGGGCGCCTGGGTGGCTCAGTGGGTTAAGCGGCTGCCTTCGGCTCAGGTCATGATCCCAGGGTCCTGGGATCGAGTCCCGCATCAGGCTCCTTACTTACTCAGTGGGGAGTCTGCTTCTCCCTCTGCCTGCCGCTCCCCCTGCTTATATTCTCGCTTGCTCTCGCGCGCGCACACACACACTCTCTCTAGCAAATAAATACATAAAATCTTAATAAAAAAAAAAAAGAGGGTGAAGGAAATGCCCACAGAGCCACCATGGCCTCCACCCGCCCCCAACCAGGCCTCCCCTGACAGTTACTTGTGCCATTCCCAGGTGCCATAGGAGACCCACTAAGCTCTACCTGACCCATTTTATAGCAAGAGCCTCAGGGATACTCAAAGCAGAGCAGGCCCTTTTTATTTTCCTGGTTCAAAAAAGTAAAAAGAATCAAGAGATGGACAGCGCCAATTCCTAAAAGGGCTGGCTGTATTATAACCAGTGACTTAGTTTCCAGGCCAGCCCCTGGAACTGTAATTACCAAGAATATAGCTGAATTACATAGTGCAGACTACAACAAGCCTGAGGTATGGATTATGGGCACAAAAACCAGTACAGAAAGGAAGAGAAAGAAGCTGAGAGTTTCTTCTCCTGTTCCTGAACCTGTAGTTGGCTATAAATAAAATGTTAAATGGCAGAGCTTGGTCTTAATGGTCCTCTGACTGCCTCCTTACCCCTCTGTCTTGGTCGAGTTCCGATTTGGGTCCCAGTGCTGTCTTCGCTATCCCTGGGCTCCATGCTGCAGCACTTGTCTGTGGACAGGCAGGGGGCCAGGCAGGGGGAGGAAGGAGCTTGAGCGGAAGCGGGGACTTAGTGTTGGAGAAGTCTGAAAGTAAGCTGGGCGAGGCCGGTCCGAGCTCCACAATGCAGTCCTGGAAGCTGGGGATCACTCCTTCCTTCCTGAAACATTCGTCCCCCTTGACTGGTGCACGCGGCACGCTTCTGGCTCTGCTCCTGCCTGGCTTCTCTCTCAGTCTCCTTGGTCCCCATCCTGTTTCTCTTCCTGATCTTCTCCAAGTCTGTGTTCATCAGAATTCTGCCTCGGTCTTTTTCCCTTCACATCTCCCAGTCCCAGGGTAATTCCCTCTGCCCCCATGGTTTTAACTACCATTCATGGGCTGCTTTCTCAATATCCATTGTCCTCTCCTTTCTTTCCAACAGGCCTGGGAACCTACTTTTTCAAAATTACACTTCCCAGCCTCCCTTGGAGCTAAGCCTTGCCATGTGACCCGACTTGGCCAAGGAGACACCAGCAGGTGCCTGTGGGGATTTCTGGGAAAGTTTCGCTTTCCTAACACAGGTGCTGCCGCTCTGTCCTTTTTGTGCTTCGGCCCATCTGGAATGCATGTGGGAAGTAGGGCTGAAGCAGCCTTCGTATGACCACAGGCTGGCTCTGAGGAGGACAGCTTCCTCAATAAGGCGAGCCAGAGCAGACCTACAGGGTGGACCTGGGACCCGAATGGGAAGCTTGTTCGGGAGATGACCTCCCTAGGCCCTTCCAGCCCTGCCCATCTGTGAGTCACCCATTCCGTAATCACTTCAGATGAAAGAAGATGGTTTTTGCCGAGAGGAAGCCCCCAGATGTGGCCAGATGGGACATGAGAGGGAGGGGACAGATCAGAGAGGTTAAGACACAGACCCATGAGACTGCCTGCACTCAACCCCCAGCTCTGTCCCTGGAAGCTTGGAAATAAGGGACATACACAGAAAGTGAAAGTCACCTGGCGGTGTAAAAAGTGTTGCTTCTGGAATGATCTCATGTGAACTGACCTTCACAAAGCTATGCATTTATAAAATAAATGTGGAGAGCAGTCTCAGGGAGTCACGCAGCCCATAAGTGGTAGAACCAGAACCATCAGCTTTATGTCCAATCCTCCATCCAAGACTGTGCGCCTGTGAAGTCCTGAACACAGGGATTTGGGGGGCTGTTGCATTGCTGGGACCTCTATGCTCAGGCCCTGCCAGAAGGAATCCTGATAGGACCCCCCCACCCCGAAAAGGAGAGAGAGGCTCCCCCACACCCCCTGGAAGCAGAGCAGCGCATAGGTGGATGTTGCAGGCATCATGGGTGCCTCTGGGTCCCTCTCACAGCTTTTCGCTGGTCCCATGGGAGAGCCTTGCTGTCCCTAGGGACTTTTGCTGGGCAGTTCCTGCCACGTGCGCACATTGCCATCTAGGGGCAGTTGGCTGAAAGGAGTTTATCCAGCCCCTGCTGGGCGTGTGTGTTGGAGGAAAGGAGGAGAGGGCTTCTCAGTCCTTGTCTGACACTGTGGGTGTCGCCTTCCTTCCTGGAGCTTTCGATCTCTTGGCTCTGCGATTTACCCACGAGGGAATACCACCGAGTATTGCACACCCAACTCCTTGGAGTCTCCTGATCCCCCCGTAAGTGTTGCTGCTCTTCCAGACTCTGCACTGAGCCCTTTCCCCCTGCACCCCTCACCTCCACAGGCTCTGCCACTCCTATGTCTTTTGATCTCTTCCAGACACTGGCCACACCTCACATTTATTGCCAGTCTTTCTCTCCTGAAATGCCGCCCCAGTCTAGAATGACAATCTAATCCTGTCAGCCCTCTCCCCTAAACCATTAGAAGTTCTTTTCACTGACTGTTCTACAGAGACTGACCGGGTCTGGTCACTGTGACCACATCTCTGACCACAGGCTGCCCTCACACTCATTGACCTGGCTGCCACCTCCAGCATGATGGTGGCCGCGCACACCACCCTTCGGGATCAGGTGTTGGAATCGGATCGCTCGGGAGGGAACTGCCCCTGGCAGGAGGAAGCTGCCTCGCCCAGGGCCCTAGGACCCGATGCTCACCAAAGCCCCCTTTCCTCATTTCCAGACAGTTGAGTGAGCCCAGCCCCTGCCTCCGCAGGGGGTCAGTTCAGGCTTCCCTTGGAATGACCTCACAGTTCCTCTCCCCCCCCGCCCCTCCCCACACACATACCCCATCCTGCTTCCCCTCACCTTCCTGCCCACGAGTCACTGGATCCACTTCTGTTTCCTGTGTGCCTGGCCTCCCACACATGCCATCACCTCAACTCAGAACATCTTTTGTCCATTCCCTTTGACTGTGTGAAGATGCAGGAAGTAGAAAACCCCTCAGGCTAGTCCCTTAGCCAGGCTCTTCAGAATAGGCCTACAGGTGTATCCATGTCACCAACTCCCAGAGCATCTTTCCTACTCTGACACTGGGGTCTCGCTTTGTCTCTGCTGTTCCAGCTGCTGCTGGCCAAGCTTGTCCCCACCTTCCCCAGGGCTCCTGCCTAGCTTCTGCCTACTGCCGCCTCTGGGAGTCTTTGGCTTTCACCCCCTTTTTTTCTGAGAGGCACATTCACGTGCCCCAAGTGAGTTGCTGGTTGCTTTGGTCAGCTGTCGCCACCCATGTCCTTTCTCGGGCAGAACTTTTGTGCCAGTCTCATAGGTGCCTAGCCAGCTCATGAGGTCCTGACTTAGAGTCTACAACCCATCCCAGGTCCAGTCACTGGGCCCATGATGGGTGGTTTGTGACACAGGGATCTGGTGAGAGACCTTCCACAGGAAGTGTAATGTGCCAGCTCTCTGAGATCCCCAGGAGAGGGCAATGATGTGTTGCATATGGGCACATGTCTATCCTGTCTGCTGTTAGGGCTGCTGACTACAGATAATAAACAAATTTAGATCCAGGCATTCACATTTTGTAACCAGTCTTAGTATGAGTATGCAGATCCGGTTTTGTGATGACTGTATTATTACTAGTCGATTTTTAAAGGCGGTTGAAACATTTATGAGACTCTGAATCATTAGAATTAGGAAGAGCATAATTGATTACATGTAATGTTTAAGTGTTCGGGGAAATCTACTTTGTTAAAATCATAAAAATTCAATTTATTAGTTGTAGAAATAATACAGGCATACTTCACCTTGTGCTTTGCTTTGTGAGGCTTTGCAGATACTGCATTTTTTTACAAATGGTAGGTTTGTGGCCACCCTGCATTGAGCAAGTCTGTCGGTGCCATTTTTCGAACAGTATTTGTGCACTTGTGTCTCTGTGTTACATTTGGTAATTCTCATATTATATTTCAGTTTTTCATTATTATTGTATTTGTTATGCTGATCTGTGATCAGTGATCTTTGATGTTACTATTGTCATTGTTTTGGGTACCATGAAGCACACCCATACAAGACAGAGCACTCAGTTGATAAGTATTGGGTGCGTCCTAACTGCTCCACTCATTGGCCATCCCCCCCCCTCCCCCTCCTCAGGTCTCCCTACTCCCTGAGATACAACAATCTTGAAATTAGATCAATTAATAACCCTACAATGGCCTCCAAGTGTTCAAGCGAAAGGAAGGAAGAGTCAATCAATGTAACAAACTTCATTGTCTCTTATTTTAAGAAGTTGCCACAGCTGCCCCACTCTGATCAGTCTGAGCCATCAACACCAAGGCAAAAAGATTACAACTCAATGAAACCTCAGATGATGCCTAGTGTTCTTTAGCAATAAAGTATTTTTTGATTAAGGTCTGTACACTGGTTTGTTTAGACATAATGCTGTAGCACCCTTCATAGACGTAAGTAATAGACTACAGTGTAAACATAACTTTTATATGCACCAGGAAACCAAAAAATTCATTTGACTTGCTTTATTGTGATACTCGCTTTACTGCGGCAGTCTGGATCCAAACCCGCAGTATCTCTGAGGTATGCCCAAATGTGAATATGTAAAGAAATGCTAACTGTTTCCATTTTCCTCCATTGCACATTAGGCAAGGTGTAGAACTAGACGTGTTTCTCTTTGTGCACAGAGCCCCTTGGGCTTTAAAGAACAGCTGTGGGGAGCCACCTGCGGTGCTGGGAACCAGTCAAGGCAGCACTGGGGGATGGGAGGGTGTCTGTTCCGTGCTGTGCCATCCGGCTCAGCTGGGATCAGTGGGAGGAGCTAGGCCGTGCACTTGGTTGAGGGGTTCACTGCTGGTGGTGCCCCCGCCCTCACCTCACGCAGGCCTGAAGTCGGCTCCATGGTTGAGTCATAAAGCCTGAAGAGGAGATGAGAGTCAGATAAAGGCAGCTGAGACCTCTGCCTGGCAGAAGGTTCAGAAGCTCCTTGTTTCAAAGGACAAGCAGCACCGCCTACACTGGGAGCTGGCCATGTCTCCAAGCCCAGCTTCCCAACCCCTCCAGCCCAAAGGGTTCTGGTCTCCTCCTCCCTCCGTGCGTGAGCCGTGCTGAGGAAGGGCTTGGCAGCAGAATTGGCCTTCTCTCCCCCAAGCAAGACTGGAGTCAGGAAGGGTACAAGGAAGACTTGGTGTTAACTAGGTCCACTGGCTCCAGAAGAGCAGCTCTCCCACGTTTATCTGAATTTGCATTTCTCTTCAGGCCTCTACCCATGCAGGCTAATGGGGCTTCCCCAGCTCCTCAAACCAAATGAATTTTGTACAGTTTGCTGCAGCCTGAGTTTCACGCCACATCTATAATGCTCTTTGAGGGGGTGAGGGCGAGGGCACAGAAACTTCTGGTCAGTGAACCAGCTTTGAGATTTACTAAGCACATAAGGTAGTGTGTGCTTTTTCAGTACTTTGTTAAAATTTTTCAGTACTTTGTTAAAAATGTTTAATTAGTCAATGCATTCACATGGAACAAATTAGAGTTTAAAAGGGACATTTTCCTCCCATCTGTATCCCCAGCCACCAGTACCCTGTTCCTAGAGACAGATGCTGTTACCCGATTTCCAAGTCTTTTCCCATCAATATGTTATGGCAGACACTGCTGATTGAACGCTGAAATCCATTCTGTTTTCTTTTTTTTAGGGATAGAGTCACGAATGTTTAACAGATATAGAGCCATCCTTGAGAAAGACTACATTTCCCAGTTACCCTTGCAGTTAAGTGCAGCCCTGAGTCCTGCCTGGCTAATGGGATGTAAGCAAAAGTGATATGCACCTCTTCCAGGTTATATCTTTTTTTTAATGTTTTATGTATTTAAGTAATCTCTGTACCCCACATGGGGCTTGAACTCACGACCCCAAGATCAAGAGTTGCGTGCTCCTCTGAGCCAGTTAGATGCAACCTTCCAGGTTATATATTAATGGAAAGAAGGATGTTTAGCATTTGTCAAAATTCAACATCCTTTCATGATAAAAATTCTCAACAAATTAGGTGTAGAAGGACCATTCCTCAACATAACAAAGGCCATATATGACAAGCTCGCCACTAATATTATACTCAGTGGTGTAAAGTTAAAGGTCTTTCCTCTAAGATCAGGAACAAGACAAGACTCACCCACTCTCACCATTTCTATCCAACATAGTCCTGGAAGTCCTAGCCATAGCAATTAGTCAAGAAAAAGGAATAAAAAGCATCCAGATCAGAAAGTAAGAAGTAAAATTATCTTTGCAGATGACATGATATAAGAACCCATAAAGACTCCACCAAAAACTACTGGGAACTACTAAATGAATTCAGTAATGTCACAGGATACAATATCATGCAGAAAAGGGAAAAAAAGGCTCAGATTATTAAAATCATGAATAAGAGAAGGACCATTATTATGAACTTTTCAGAAATAAAAGGATGATAATAGAAAAAAGAAAACAATACCATTTACAGTAGCATCAAAAAACAATAAAATATTTAGGAAGAAATTTAACCAAGGAGGCAAAAAGCCTGTACACTGAAAACTATAAGACACTGATGACAGACTAAAGACACAAAGGAATGGAAAGATATCCCATGAATTAATATTGTGAAAATGTCCATGCTACCCAAAACAATCTACAAATTCATTGCAATCCCTAGCAAAACTCTAATGGCATTTTTTATAGATATAGATAAAACTATCCTAAAATTTGTATGGAACCACGTAAGACCCCAAATAGCCAAAGCAATCCCAAGGAAAAAGAACAAAGTTGGAGGATCACACTTCCTGATTTCAAGCTATATTACAGAGTTTATAATAACCAAAATAGGATAGTACTGGCATAAAAAAACAGGCATATAGACAAGTGGAACAGAATAAAGAGCAGATGACATGATCATCTATGTGGGGTTTTTAATAGATTTTTTTTTTTATCAAGTTGAAGAAGTTCCCCTTTGTGCCTAATTACTGAGGGTTTCTTATTTTTTCTTTTTTTTTTTTGAGGGTTTCTATGATGAGTGGGTTTTAGATTTTGTCAAATGCTTTTTCTGTATCTATTGATATGATCATGTAATTTTTTTCTTTAGCCTATTGTGATGGATTACATGAATTGATTTTTGAATGTTGAGCTGCTTTATACACCCATGATAAATCCCACTTGTTTGTGGTGTAGAATTCTTGGTATACACTGTTGTATTTAATTTGCTAATTTTTTAAGCATTTTTGCATGTATGTTTATGAGAGATATTCGACATTACTTTTCTTGTATTTGTCTGGTTTTGGTATTCGGAGAATTCTGGCCTCATAGAATGAGTTAGGAAGTATTCACTCCACTTCTATCTTCTGAAAGAGATTGTAGAGAACTGATATAATTTCTTCTATAAATGTTTGATAGAAATTCACCAATGAACCCATCTGAAATTTGTGCTTTCTGTTATTATCAACTCAGTTTCTGCAATAGATATAGGCCTATTCAAATTGTCTATTTCTTCTTGTGTGAGTGTTGGCAGATTATGACTTAGGTGGAAATTGTTCATTTCGTAAGTTATCACATTTGTGGGTATAGAGATACTTATAATATTTCTTTTTATCCTCTTAATGTCCAAGGGGCTATATTGATGTCCATTCTTTCATTTCTGATGTTAGTAATTTGTGTCCTCTCTCTTTTCTAATTGTAGTGATCTTTTCAAAGAATCAACTTGTTGGTTTAGTTAATTTTCTCTATTCATCTTCTGTTTTCAATTTCCTTGATTTCTACTCTAATTTTTATTTCTTTTCTCTGCTTACTTTGGCTTTAATTTGCTCTTTTTTTTTTCCCAGTTTCCTAAGGTAGAAGCTCAGATTAATCGATTTTACATCTTTCTTTTCTAATATATGCAGTCAGTGCTATAAATTTCCTCTAATCACTGCCTTCACTGCATCCCACAAATTTTGATAAGTTGCATTTTCACTTTCACTTAACTAAAAATATTTTCGTATTTCTCTTCAGATTTCTTCGCTGGCATATATGTTATTTAGAAGTGTGTTGTTTAATCTCCAAGTATTGTGAGATTTCCAGCTATTTCTGTGTTACTGATTTCTAGTTTAATTCCACTGGGGTCTGAGAGCAGACATTATATAATTTCTATTCTTTCAGATTTATGAAGTTGTGTTTTATGCCCCAGACTGTGATCTATCTTGGTGAATGCTCCACGTGAGCTGGGGGAGAATGTGTATTTGCTGCTCTTTGATGAAGCGGTCTATAGATGCTCATGATATCCAGTTGACTGATGATTATTGTTGAGTTCAATTATGTCCTTACTGGTTTTCTGCCTGCCGCTTCTACTTCTGATACACAGGTGTTGAACTCTCCAACTATAATAGTAGATTCATCTATTCCTCCTATGGTTCTATCAATGTTTGCCTCATATATTTTGATCTCTTCTCTTTTTTTCTTTAAATTTTTTTATTGTTATGTTAATCACCATACATTACATCATTAGTTTTTGATGTAGTGTTCCATGATTCATTGTTTGTGCATAACACCCAGTGCTCCACGCAGAACGTGCCCTCTTTAATACCCATCACCAGGCTAATATTTTGACCTCTTCTTACACACATACACATTAGGATTATTTTGTCTTCTTGGAGAAGAATGCCTGTATCATATGTAATACCTGTCTTTATCCCTGATAACTTTCCTTGCTCTGAAGTCTGCTCTGTCTGAAATTAATACAGCTACTTTTGTTTTCTTTGGATTCATGTTAGCATGGTATATCTTTCTCCCTCTGTTTACTTTTAAAGTATCTGTGTTTTTATATTTCAAGTCCATCTCTTATGGATAACATACAGTCAGGTCTTGTCTTTTCATCCACTGTGACAATCTCTATTTTTGGTGTATTTTGACCATTGCATTTAAAGTGGTTATTGATAGGGGTGCTGGGTGGCTCAGTCATTTGGGCATCCGACTCTTGGTTTTGGCTCAGATCATGATCTCAGGGTGGTGGGATCTGGCCCTGCATTGAACTCCACACTCAGTGCAGAGTCCACTTGAGATTCTTACCCTCTTCCTCCCCCTCTGCTCTGCCCCCTGCTCGAGTGCACACGCACACTCTCTCTCAAATAAATAAATAAATAAATAAAATCTTAAAAATATAAAATGGTTATTGATATAGTTGGATTAATATTGATCATATTTGTTGCTCTTTTGGTTATTGTTCCTATTTTTGTCTTCCACTTGTTTTGTCTTTTGTGGTTTTAACTGATCATTTTATGATTCCATTTTCTCTTTCCTCGTATATCAGTTATTCTAACTTTTTTACTTTTTTCAGTGATTTGCCCTAGAGTTTGAAGTATACATTTGCAACTAATACAAGTCCAGTTTCAAATTACACTACTTCATGAGCAC